GGAAGGGACTCTGGAGCATGTCTGTCATGACCCTGATGCGTGACCATCTCCTCCATCGCTCCTGATAAGTAGGGAGCCCACTTCCCTTTGAAAACTCCCATCAGCGCGGAGCTCACTGCCGAGCCTGCTCATTCGGTTTGGCAGCCCTGATTGTGAGCAGGTTGTTTGAACGTCCCTGGGCATTGGATTCTTTCTCCTTAATTAATACTCCCCTGGCTATGGCCCGGGTGGAGGCTGCTCTGCGGTTCCTCCTCTGGGTTAGCACTTATTAATGGACTTGCTGGCTCACTCTGTCCCCAAGGGGAATTAAGTCAGTTCTCATGGAACTCGAGTCATGATTCCGAGAACTCACCTAACACTGCCACTCAGCAGGGCTCCTACTGTTGTGAACGTTGTAAGCCTGCTGGAAGCATCGTCCTGTTAGATCTAACCCCTGCAATACAAAGCCAGGGGTATCTAGAGCCTGTGACCCCTTAGCTTGAACAGTGTGCTTCTGGAGTTTCCTCAAACTAGCCTGTTCCAAACTTAACGTTGTAGGTAGGGGAGAGAAAGATGCGAGGTTGCTGCTGCTGTTTTATCAAGTGACCTTCTTTTGTGACCAGGGCTTTTGACTTTGGGAAGAACACGGTGTCCTAGACCGGAGGGCAAAGCTTTTTTTCCCCTTTGCTTTGTACTGTTAGGTAAAGTGTTGTCATGGTAGTGTCATGAGGCAGGGACATGAGGCAGAGACGGAGTCTAGTTTCGATAAGCTTTTTAGCACTGGAGTTATCAAGTTTCTTAGCCTTGTCACAGACAGCTGAGCAGTGTCCAGGGAAGTCATAGACGGCCTCCTGTTGAGGATTGGCATCCTAATGGCTTAACCCAGAAAGAAAGAATGACAGGAGCGGAAGGAAAAGAGGAGAGTTAGAGGGGGAGGTGGGGGGAGAAGACAGCCAGAGGGGAGTCCGCAATCTGTTCTCATCCATTGTTTCACGGGATCCTCACCACTCCTCTGAGAAGGAGGTGGGCCTGGCACCTTCCCAGCGTGCAGCCACGGCCCAAAACCAGAAGCCAAGCAGCATCCCAGGGTCACATGTCTGCTTGATGGCCAAGCCTGGATCTTCCGATTCCAGATCTAGCACTTTTCCCACTTCGTCTGTTCTGGTTCGGGGAGGATGCCGGGTGCAGTGTGCCAGGTGCTGTGCAGCCCCCAGCAGGAGCTCCCGCCCTCCAGCTGCAGCTCGTTGAAGTCACTGGCTCAAGACTGGAGCCGGTGTAGCTTTGTCAGTGATAAAAAGCCACTCAGGGCTTCTGCCTGCACAAGTCAGCACTAATCTGACTGCTTCAGAAAAGGAAAGACCACTGGCCTCATGTGGCCAGAGGAGAGCAAAGGCAGATAATCATTTATGGAAATCCTAGGGCTGGCAGTGCCCAGCCAGGCTCCAGGCAGAACTCTGGGCTTTTCTGTACTCCGAGTCTGTTTCAGTCCTCCTGTCTGTGCAGGAGCTTGACTGTCTGACAGTCTGAAACCTCCTTCTGTTGGGCTGGGTTGGGTTTCTGAACAGGAGTCCAGCTGTGGGTCAGACAAGTCTGCTCCTAATCCAGGATCCTTGAGCAACACAGTTGACGGAGTTGAGTGTCAGGCTTTATTACCAAAAACCAAACTCACTGCCATCAAGTCAATCGCAACTCATAGCGACCCGCAGTGGGTTTCCAAGGTTGTAAATCTTTATGGAAGTAAATCGCTCCATCCTCCTTCCACGGAGCGCCTGGTAGGTTTGAACCGCGAGCCTTCTGGTTAGCAGTCAAATGCCTTAGGCACTGTGCCACCCGAGCTCCTTAGGCTTTATTAGGTGGTTCCATTTCTTCAGAAAACATTATAGAATCACTGTGTCTTTGGTTGAAACCAGAAAAGCAAGATTTCCTTTACTCTGTTGTTTGCACCTTCTGGGTTGGGGGATCGGAAGTCGGCCTGGCTGAGGTTCTGGTTCTGTGATCTTGGCCACAGCATTTTCCCTCCCCAAACTGCCATTTCCTCATCCTTAAATGGATTAGATTGGAGGTGTTACACTGCACCTTGACCAGTCAAATGCAGCCTGCATCTGTTTTTGTAAGTAAAGTTTTATTTAAACACAGCTGAACCCATTCATACTCTAATGGCAGAATTGAGTAGTTGTGACCAAGACCATATTGGCTACAAAACATAAAATATTTCTCATCTGGGCCTTCACAGAGAAAGTTTGCTGACCTCTGGATGAGACGATATCCAGGGAGGGATCTTCTAGAATCTATGATTTTCTCTTGGGTGGTTGTGTAATCTCATATCTGGATATCTGGATGCTGAACTGTTTTTCCTTCCTCCTCATCCCACTCTTCCTTGCTTTCTCGCTTGGGGTCCTTCTTCTGTGTTGATATAGCTGCCACTGTCCCAGAGCAGAGGACAGTGACCCTGGATGTCGATGTGAACAACCGCACAGACCGGCTGGAGTGGTGCAGCTGCTATTACCACGGCAACTTCTCCCTGAACGCGGCCTTCGAGGTCAAGCTGCACTGGATGGCGGTGACTGCCGCCGTGCTCTTTGAGATGGTGAGCCTCCGCGAGCTGGGGTTAGGGGCTCTGGCTCGCCTTACAGAGGGCACAGGGGATGCTCAGCACAGATTCATGCCACCTTTGAGTTCAGGTTTCTCTTACCAGCTTACTGGAATAGTCTCTTAAAAAAAAAAAAAAAAAAAAGTATTGTAAGAAAAAATTCAAATAGGCAGAAAGAGACGGACTAGGATTTCTCGACCTTGGCACTACTGACATCTGGAGCCAGATACGTCTGTTGGGCAGGGGTGCCCTGTGCAGTGTAGCATCTGTAACTCGACCTACTAGGTATCAGTAGCAGCCACCCTCAGCCCCCTAATGGTGACAACCAAAAAGGTCTCCAGACGTTACTGTATTTCCCCAGGGAGGAGGGAGGGACAGTGCTGCAAACGGAAAATCATTGGTCTAATTGTGCTCACGTGGAGCCCGTACATAGACCAAGAGGCAGTCATTTGAACAAAGCAAGGGATATTGCATGGTTTAAAATCAGGAAAGGTGTATGTCAGGGTTATGTCCTTTCAGCATTCTTACTCAACCTGTGTGCTGTGCAAATAACCTGAGAAGCTGGACTGCGTGAAGAAGAATGCGGCATCAGGATTGGAGGAGACTCATTAACAACTTGCGATACACAAATGATACAGCCTTCCTTGTTGAAAGTGAAGATGACTTGAAGCACTTAACTGATGAAGGTCAAAGGCTACAGACTTCAGTATGGATTGCACCTCAACATAAAACAAAAGTCCTCACAACTGGCCCAGTAAGCATCATCTTGATATATGGAGAAAAGATTGAGGTTGTCAGGTATTTCATTTTAACTTGGATCAACAATCAAAACCCATGGAAGTAGCAGTCAAGAAATCAAATGTTGTATGGCACTGGGCATATCTGCTGCAAAAGACCTCTTTAAAGTGTTAAGGAGCAAAGAGGTCACTTTGAAGACTAAGGTGCGCCTGACTCCCAGCCGTAGTTGCCTCATATGCATGCGAAAGCTGGACAATGAATAGGGAAGACCAAAGAATTGATGCGTTTGAGTTGTGATGTTGGTGAAGAATATTGAATTTACTACAGACTGCTAGTAGAAAGAACAAACCTGTCTGGGAGGAAATAACAGCCAAAATGCATACTTCTTAGAAGTAAAGATGGCCAGGCTTTGTCTCACATACTTTGGATGTGTTATCAGGAGGGACTAGTCCCTGGAGGGCATCATGCTTAGAAAAGTCAAAGGTCAGTGAAAAAGAGGAAGGCTTTCTCAGAGAGATGGACTGACACAGTGGCTTCAACAGTGGGCTCAGGTATAGCAACTGTTGTGAGGATGGTTCAGGACTGGGCAGGGTTTTCATTCTGTTGTATGTAGTGTTGCTATGATTTGGAACTAACGTGACAGAACCTAACAACAGAGTGAAAAGTATAAGTCTCTCTCCCACCTTTACCTGAGTTCCTGAGACCTCCATATAAAAGCATCCACCTCTGCCACTTTGGTGGATGCACTTCTGGAGAGATTGTCTGCATATACAAAGCCATGTGACTTCTTTGAACAGAGAGGGCAGCATGTGATAGAGTGGACAGTCTACACTGTATTTTTCCCATTGCCTGTGTATCTTCCATATCAACACAACTACATCTGTCTTGTTACTTTTAATGGCTACAGAATATTACATGACTTATTGGCGCCCTTGTTTACTGATCCAGGCTCCTGTTGAAGGCATTGCTGCTTTTAACCCAGTGCTTCTCAATTGGGGAGATTTTGTCCACTTCCCCCATGGCAATTGACAATGTCTAGAGACATTTCTGGTGTGCTACTGGCACCAAGTGGGTAGAAACCAGTGGCACTGCTCAACATCCTAAATGCATAGGACAGCCCCCACAACAAAGAGTCAATTGGCCCAAAATGTCACTAGTGCTGAGGGTGAGAAACCCTGTTGAACTGGTATTCCTGCCTGCCTTCCTCCTCCTAGACCATCCTGCCTTGTCTCTAATCAGACCACTCATTATTCCTGCACTAAGAAGCCATCCTGGCCCCCACCCATCCCAATCCCATTGTCTATACTGCTGAAGAGCAAAGCTGTCTCTCTGAAAACTAAGGTGTGCCTAGCACAAGCTACGGTGTTTTCAGTCACCTCACATGCACGTGAGAGCTGGACAATGAATAAGGAAGACCGAAGAAGAGTTGATGCTTTTGAGTTGTGGTGTTGGTGAGGAACGCTGAAAGTACCATGGACTGCTGAAAGAACTAACAGATCTGCCCTGGAGGAAGTGCAGCCAGAATGTTCCTTTGAAGAGAGAATGGCCAGACTTCGTCTCACCTACTTTGGAGAAGGATATCATGTTTGGTAAATTGGAGGGTCAGTGAAAACAGGGAAGGCCCTCAACAAGATGGGCTGACACAGTGGCTGCAACAATGGGCTCGGGTACAGCAAAGATTGGGAGGCTGGCGTAGGACTGGGCAGTGTGTCGCTCTCTTGTTGCTGAGTCAGAGCCTACTTGAGGGCATCTAACAACAGCGAAAAAGAAACACTCATCAGCCATGCTGTCAGTGTCTTCTGAGAGCCCTTGTTCACCATCTTGCAGTTGAGATGTTCACCATCTTGCTGCTTTCACACACTCGCACCTTCAGCCAGAAAAAATCTTTTTTCTGTGACCTTAACTGAGTCCTGCTCCCCTCCAGCCTCGACCCAGGCACCTTCATTGCACAGCTGAGAGCAACTGGAAAATTGCGAGTTTACTAAAAGATGGGAGGTGGCCAAAGAAAAATGAACATAGACAGCATTGGCTGGCAACGTCTACATTTTTGTCCAGGGCTCATAGGCCTGATTTGCTGGGTCTCTGTCTGCCCAGCCCCGACTCTGCCTGGCGTTCGCTGGCAGAAGGCATTTCCTGGCATTCTGCTGTGATGGCATTCACATCTGAGAGAGACCTCTCCTTCAGGAGGAACTCCTTCAGGGGAGTATATTTAAGATCCCATAAAAAAGAGGCCCAGCTGCCTGTCCACCACGTAGCTGCCGGAGGGGACACCAGTCTTTCCCAGTTGTTGACACCAGGCTGACCACTTCCTTCAAGCAAAACTAACTGTCTGACCCATTGGGCTCAAGTGCTGTCCCTGCAGCGCCTAGCAGACAATCATACCTCAAAAACACCATGACCACAACACCAGAGAGACACACATATGCAATTAACATGTAGCAGTGAGAAAATTATTCATTTCCTTAGAGGAATTTACAAATTATTTTTTAAAAAATAGACATTTTACATCTGTTCATTTGAAAGCTGCCTAGTCCCTTTTATTTTGTTAAAAACTTTAAAAAACTTTAAGTGTGGGTTAATTATTATTTTAAGGGAATGTCCAAATTTGTCACAAATCATATTTCATAAGGACGAGTATTACCTAAAATAAGAATGTTCTGGATTCAGGCTTGGAAGTTATTGTGGCCAGAGATTTTATTTTTTGGCTGTAATGTTGTTGCTGTTAATGAGTATTTCTGGGAGAAAAGTTACGAGTGGGACCCCTCAATGTTTAATGTATGTTTGTTTAAGTCAAGATACAACCTGAAGTGTGTTTTTTGAAATAATTTCTAACATGAATCTTACTGTATGCCAGAGCCACACGTATTAACTTCTTAAAAAATATGCATACATTTTTTCATTCAAAAGGAATCTCAATACCTAAAGCACTGTCCTGGTTCCCTCCGAAAATGTTACTTATGGAGAGGTTTGTCTTCATGCCCCATTAACTTTTTCTTCCTCAGTCTTCAGGGCGGACTGCTTTGGGGACTTTGCTGTGGAGCAGCCTCTCCGGGTGACAAGCCAGGGCTTTTATTACTTCTGGCCAGAGGCCACCCCAGCCATCCTGTACTCTGCATCATGTCTTCCTCAGCCAGCCCAAGTGGTTGGTTTTCCTCTTTAATCCTTTGGACTCACTGAATTTTTAATCAAGGTCAAGACGGAAGCATTTCATTTTTATTCTATGACCTTTCTCCAAGATTTTATAGAATGAGTGGGAAGTTTTTGTTGTTGTTAGGTGCCGTCGAGGTGGCTGTGGCTCATAGCGACCCTTTGTACAACAGAACGAAACACTGCCCAGTCCTGTGCGAGCTTCACGATCCTTGCTGGGCCTGAGCCCCTCGTGGCAGCCACTGTGTCAGTCACCTCGTTGAGGGCCTTCCACTTTTACGCTCACCCTCCACTTTACTAAGCATGATACTCCCTCTGACCTGCTCATTCCAGAAGAAACAGTGACAAGAAGCCATGTGTTTAACTCCCAGATCTTCACATATTTGTCAGGAGTTAAACTGTGCTGCTTCCTGGACAGGACCGGCTGGGAGCTGGTGAACGTTAGTAAATGAACACCCCGATCGACACGCATGCTGCCACCCCGGCAGGTTCACTCCTTGGGAGGCATTTTCTCTTGTCTGAAACAACGTGGAGATGATACTGTATGTTTCTGTTTTTTCCACTAGGTCCAAGGTTGGCACCGGAAAGCCACCTCCTGTGGCTTCCTGTTGGTCCCGGTCTTGGAGGGTCCCTTTGCGCTGCCCAGTTACCTGTATGGTGACCCCCTTCGTGCCCAGCTCTTCATCCCGCTCAGCGTCAGCTGCCTGCTCAAGGAGGGCAGTGAGCACCTGTTCGACAGTAAGGCATGCGCCCACGGGGGCTCTGTCTCTATGTGGAAGACCCCACCCTCCCTCCCAGGGATGCCTCTGGGTGTCTCATCCACACAGGCTAGTGCAGAGAGAGCCTTTGGGTGAGGCCCAGAAAGGATCTGGGTTGTCACCCTGGCTCTTCCCTTGCTGCATAAATTAGATAAGTTATTTAATGTCTCTGAGTCTGGAATTCCTTTTAGCTGCTCCTGGGAGTAGCTCGAGCGACTGGCCAGCCTAAGGAAGTCCATTATCAGCCTGGAGCAGAATGCTAGGCCTGAGAGGCTTTCAGCTTGTGGTGAGGAGTGGTACTTTCACTGTCCCACGTACTCCTTTCAGGGCTAAAGCCTCATGGGTCTTGGCTGCAGGAATCTGAACCTCACAGGAGGCTTGGGTGTGCCATTCCATGCCAAAAAGGGGGGGGAGTTGAAAGCAAAACAGGAAACGGTATCCTACTGTGCAGAGCTGTGGTGTGTCAGCACCTGGAGCAGTGCGTGTGGCTCGAGCCCTGCGTCTCCAGGAAGACACATGAGAGCAGGAAGCGGCTCTGAGGAGACAGCGGGGCCTGGGTCTGAGCTCTTGGAACAGGGGCGGCTGTCAGAGAGGGAGCACATGCTGGCCCGCCTGCGACTCCACCCTAGCCCACCCGGACTCAGCGGGCAGAAGCCGGGCCCATCAAAGGCTGGGTCCCCCTACACACAGCAGGTAGTATTTTATCCCCAAGAGCTTTTGATGAGTTCACGAATGATCTTCCTTGTTATTGAGAGAGTTGATAAACGTGAAAGAAGTAAGTTTGGATGTAAGGGAGATGTTGGGTTATGCCCTTGCACAGCTTGTACATCTGTGCCACGGTCAGCAGCCGAGGCCCAGCCAGGGTGGGGTGGTCTCGCCAGGCGGGCTGCTAAGCCAAGTATTCCTGGTCTTGTCCTGTGACAGGCTGCCCTCGTGGTGCAAACCGTTTTTATTCCAGAAGCCCATGTAGATGTGCTTTGTTTATAAGTTGGAAGGTATTTCTGTATAATCCAAATGTTCTAAGTGGTTATTGCGGCCCCAGGTGAGCCCCACAGAGCCGCTGGAGACCATGGATGCCACAGTACATCATAGTTCATGGAGTGCTCCTCAGAGGTGTGTGTGTGCGCAGGCACAGTCATGTGTGCACGCGCACACACACACACGTTTTTGTTGAACCTTAAAGGGAAGCTGAAGAGAGTGCCATCTTGAGCCAGGCAACACCTCATACTGTTGTTTTCATATACTGATAGGGCAGAGAGATGCCCCCTCATACCACCCAGAGATTCTCAGGGGGGCAAGGGTTCCATCTTCGCTGTAACTGCACAGGAGTGTTTGCAGAGCTGGCATTGAGGACATCTTTGTGTGAGCTGATGGTTTTCCCTGCCAGTCGTGACCCTGTCTGCAGGACTAGCAGCCTCTCTCAGTTGCCATGGTTACAGCTGAAGAAAGGAGTCCTAGTTTAAATGAATAAGGACTCAAATCTGAAATCGATTTTTTTTGCTTCTGTGCTACTTCTTTTCCTGTTATCTCCTCTTCCTGTAACAGTAAATTCAAAATAAAAAAATCTGACCGGAATGTACTATATATTTTATTTTCCTCAATTAAAGCCCAAATCTTCTCTTTTCCATTTTTTTAACCCTAAAAGTTAGCCTCTTTTTTTTTTTCACCTAAAGATAAAAACAAAACAAAGAGCCCCAGGTCTATCCTATATATTGTTGTTGTTACGTGCCATCAAGTCGGACCTGACTCATAGCGACCCCTCCTTGGGTTTCCGAGGCGGTATCACCACGGAAGTAGATTGCCCAACCTTCCTTCCGAGGAGTAGCTGGTGGGTTTGCACTACCAGCCTTCTGGTTAGCAGTCAAATGCCGTACGCACTATGCTACCAGAGCTCCTCTATCCTAGGTAGAAAATTCCAAAAGTAGGAAGAGTAACAAAGCCACCCCAGACTCCACCGGTCCATGGGGTGCCTTGTGAACTCATCCCTCAGCCCCTCCATCCCAAAGGAAGCCCTGGCTTCATTGCCTGGTCCCCTGTGACAGCTGCCTCTGCCCTCCCACTCCTCCCCCAGCTTCCGGTCCTCAGTGGCAGCCAAGCAGGAGGGGGCTGCAGCGATGAAATAGGGGTTTGGAAAGGATCCTCATCCTATTCAAAAACACAAAAATGACCAGAATCACTGGTCAGAAAGAGACAGGTGGAACCCCCGAGACTATGGCCCTGGGTTACCCTTCGGACCTAGAAATGGACTTACTTCCTTGCATTGGCTCTTAGCCCAACAATAGAAAGACCTACATGCAGAACACCTACCCCACCTACCTACTCTAGGGAGATGCACCCCTTGTATCAAGCAGCCATGAGCTGTCAGAGGGGTTACACTTACATAGATGGAAAGCTGGACAGACAGGAGTACATGGATGAGAAGGGCACAGGGAGGAGAAGGGAGGAGAATATGGCTGAGGATGGTAATCAGGGCTGGGAAAGCCAATATGTGTGAACTGTTGAATGTAAAACAAGATTGCTTTGTAATTTGCACCCAAAGCACAATTTAAAAAAGAGAAGGGGGGCTTATCTTCTCTGTCCTTCTCCCCAAATGATCACTTTTAGGAAAATCATTTTTCTGTTGGCTTCAACTCCGCACCCAGAATATTGCTTTCCCTTGTGGAGAAATGGAAGATTGGAAATGAAAAAAAAATTTTTTTTTTAAACTCTTTAGAAGCAGATAGTATAGTAAGGCATTTAAAACATATCTTCTGTTTGTACTTCAAGGTCCTGCTCCATTCCGTTTGGGGCATGCAGCATCATTAGAAAGAGTCTTACGTTGATGGTTGATAGCTCACACGAGGTACTTGCTAAGACCCTGTTCCGCTCTCCAGCCCCGAATACACACAGCCACAGTGACCCTTGGCTTGTCTTCCTGGAAGCAGGTTGTGTGCAGATGCAGAACCCAGGCTCCGGGGCGCAGATCGCCGAGTGGTGAGGGGCCCAAAGAGCAGGCCCAAGCTCACCACGGCTCAGCGCTGGCTCTTCTTTCTTTCAGGCTTTGAACCAGAGACGTATTGGGATCGAATGCACCTTTTCCAGGAAGCCATTGCACACAGGTTTGTCCCTTAGCAGGAGAGACTAGTGGGACGACATCAGGGTTTACCTTGACCAGCAGTTACCGAAGTGAAACTGAGGTTGCTTCGTTTCTGGGCACGAGGATCTGTTCCAGGGAGAAGTTCACCACTTAATCTCGGACAGAATTCGGCCTTGTTTTAGAAGATGGGCACCATTGCTCCAGTTCCTATTAGCTGCTATTTTTCAGACCTCCTTGCCTCCTCCTTCCTGTTGAGGGGGTGTCCATTACAGCTCTCTTCTTAGCCTCTAGGAGACAGCATGAAAAGAAAAGTGGAGAAACTTGTCAGGAGACCTTGACATATTATTGACATACTATGGTTAAAAAGCAGTCAGTGACTCAGTAGTTTACCGAGCATGTAATCTGTGTGCCGGGGAAGGCCTTCCTGTGCTTAGCTGTCTGCCCCTCAGACCTGTCTGGCAGACCCCTGCCTAGCGTGTCCAGCTGCTGACCCCTGTCGGTCATGGTAAAAGCAGAGCCACCTTTTCTGCTTCAGTCATCCTCTTATCACAGCTCTTTCAGTACCATAAAAAGACCAAACTCACTGCTGTGGAGTCGATTCAACTCATAGTGACCCCTCCTTGGGTTT